TGATGCTCGAGACTGCTAGCTCAGCGCCTTGCTAGCTAGCGGCCGTATGATTTTTTTTTTTTTGTCATTTTTTTGTCTGTGGCTCGTGTCATTGGCTTGAATGCCTCTTTTTGTGATGGGCACTGAAGACTGCTATTTTAACTTCTTTTGTTATCCCGAGCCTCTTAATAATGGTAAAGAATAAGATGTGTTGCAATTCAAAGATGTTTAGAATTGTCTACTGTACATTAATAGTTCAAACTGTAAATGTGGCACAAACTACGATTCCAAAAAAGTCTTACATTTCCCCCACTGACTTAATTATAAAATAATGTAACCTAGGCTAACTGTTAGCGATTCCGTACAAAGATGTTAGCCTCTTCCTGATACTTCAATGAGGCTTTGACACGACTACTGTCTTATTAGGGACTTTGGTGCCACCTTAAGGCATTACAGAAACACCCAAATGGATATGTGTGTGTGTGTGTGTGTGTGTGTGTGTGTGTGTGTGTGTGTGTGTGTGTGTGTGTGTGTGTGTGCGCGTGAGAATAGCGAAGGGTAGGATGATTTTTTTTTTCTTTTTTAACCTAAGACAGTTAAGAATGTTAACATGTGACTTAAAACATTGCCCGTGCAGTTGAAACCATTTTTATGATGGCGACAGACATTTTGGTTTGTGGTCACACTTGAAGGTACGACCGCAATATTGTTCTGCTGACACAAGGCCCGGGAATGGAACGATATGATTGGCCGAACGTTCTCTCCCTGGAGCAGAGATGAAAAAGCAAACATCCCATGGCCACATCATAGAAACAAGTCGAGCCTGCCCCCCCCCCTCCTCCCACCTCAATGTTTGTCGTAAAAGTGATGACTCTTATCAGAACGTGGGAAGGCATTTTTGACAGAAGGCTGAGTTTTGCCAGACAACACAAAGCCCACGCTTGCTCGATCTGACTGGTCGTGAATGCTTGGTCGCGAGACCGAGGGAGCGTCGCTATCAGTGGCGGGCCAGACGGCTGTGCAGCTGTTCTCCTGACGCACCTCGTCTCCCACCTTTTTCCATCCAAGTGGGCTCACCTGAAAGTGTTTCATACTCCTTTTCTCTCCACTCTCTCCTCTGTCAACCAGCCTTAAACCAACAGCGTGCCAATAAATCTCCTTTCTCACATCCCAAAGTCTACCTTTCCATGTAACGCTGTAATTACAGCTCCACCGTGTCAGGCAAGGACTCTTCCAGTTTTCGAGTCCCCGTGGGCCCCCTTGGCCCTCTGACAGCGGGGATTTGGGCTCTGTGACTACGTAATTACGCGTAGCCCTCTGGTTTCCATTTGCGCCAGCGCCTGTTTCGTTGCTTCAGACTGTTAAAAAAAAAGAGGAAGGACGGCAAAGATGATGGGAGGGGCTACGGCGTTTCACACCAGAAAATCCTTTGCCGGTATTTGTGGGTCTGGCGGGGCTTGTGTTTTGAAAGAACACGGCCCAAAATGAGCCCCTTTAGAACAGAGTTTCTGGAAAATAGAAGTGACATCACAGTGGTGCAGTTGAGGTCTATCATACAGAACCCAGCGAGGCAAGTGAGTGCCTTGGGTTAAATTTCTGTTCTCCGACTTTCCGTTATGCCCTTCTTCATAGCCATCTCTCCGATGCTACCTCAGTAGCCTGAAAGTTTGTGGTGTTTGTCTTCAACCCCAACAGGGCTGGAGAAAAGTGAGACATCATTAACGAATTTGGTCGCCTCCATTCAACATTTCCTGGATGACTGAGAATCTACACAGACATACTTCACAAAGAACAGGGAGGGAAAAAAAGAAAAAGTCATTGTTTAAGGAGCTCGAGATCCAACTTGAACCGGCGCTGCCACGCGGTAAATTGCGTTTGCCGTCTCATGAAATATCTTACGGCCGGCCGCGTTGGCCGTCTAATGCGGGCGATGATAGAGCAGAGCAGAGGTGCGCAAGGACACAGGTGTTCCTCAAGGTACACATGACAAGGTTGCTAGTCCTCGCTGTCAAAGCGCGTTAGCGAATCAATCTGTCATCTGGTGGGCGGCGCGGGCCCAAATCTCCGCAGACGTGGTGCGGTGGGGAAATGAAAGATGATGTTGCGCCAGCTAACTTGTAAAGGTTGTCGCTTAAGTCTCTTGGGCGGTGGCGGTGCTTGAGCGAAAGCCATAACAATGCATGGAATTGGTCTTTTTTCACGGCGTTCCGCCTGAGAATGAGAGCGCGTTCATCGTAACAGTGTCGGAGATAGAATACGCACCCACTTATTTACTGCAGCTTAGATGCCTTTGACAGCTAAGTTTGCCACCGGCTTGATGTTTGTGAATGTGTTTTGACACATCAGGTATTACTCTACAACAACATCAATACCTCACTCTGAATACATTCTGAACCAACCCCACTAGCAAACAGATGTGATACACTATCTATCTATCTATCTATCTATCTATCTATCTATCTATCTATCTATCTATCTATCTATCTATCTATCTATCTATCTATCTATCTATCTATCTATCTATCTATCTATCTATCTATCTATCTATCTATCTATCTATCTATCTATCTATCTATCTATCTATCTATCTATCTATCTATCTATCTATCTATCTATCTATCTATCTATCTGCAAACAGATGTGATACACTATCTATCTATCTATCTATCTATCTATCTATCTATCTATCTATCTATCTATCTATCTAGTTAGCTAGCTAGCTAGCTAGCAGCCAGCTTTCTATATATAGGAGCTAATCTAGCTCATTTCATGCTTGGGTTATGAATTCAAATTAGAGTTTCGAGCCTGGGTTTGGGGTTCAGATTAATGTTTGAAGCCAGGGTTCAATTTCAAATTAACCCAACTCCTGGGTTGGGGTTTCAAGCCATGGGTGGGGTTTCAAATTAGGGTTTAAAACCTAGGTTAAGTTTTAAATTTGGGTTTTAAGTCTGAGTTCGGGTTTCAGTGTCGGGTTTATTAATGCCTGAGTTAGGGTTTCAAAGCCTCGGTTAGGGTATAAAATTAGCTGGTTTTCAAGCCAGGTTTAAGGTTTCAAGTCTGCGTTAAGGTTTTGAAAATGCAGTTTGGTTAAGGTTTAAAATTGTGGTTTGAAGCCTGGCTCAGAGTTTTAGTTTAGGGTTTTGAGTCTGGGTTAAGCTTTTAAAAATACACTTTCAAGACTTGGTTAGGGTTTTAAATTAGGGTTTCAAGCCTTGCTGTAGATTTCAAATCAGGGTTAAAAGCTTGGTTTAGGATTTCAAATTAGGGTTTCAAGTCTGGGTGAAGGTTTCAAACTCGGTTTTGGGTTTCAACGCATGTTTTCAACCCTGTGTAAAGTGTGAAATTAGTTTTTGAAGGCTGGGTTACAACTTGAAATTAGTGTTACAACACCGGGTTAGGGTTTAAAGTGACAAGTTTCAAGCCTGGGTTAGGGTTTCCATCGTGGGTGCAGGTGTGCGTCACTTGCTAAGTACCACAACATATTTCGTCTCAGCTTTTATGACATGATTCACCAGGGGCTTGATGCGTCGTTAACTCAGGACCTTACGCTCGCTGCCAGTCCTGCTGGCCAGTCCCGCACCTTGTGGATGATTACAACCGCTTGTAAATCGGAGGCCTCGCGAGTGGTCGTGGTGGGGGCAATAAGTGGGACATCATCAGACTTCACCTGCGAGTGAACATAAATCAAGGGCGCTCGGTCACAAAGATGCGGCAAAGACAAAGCGGCGTGAAGCGACGACCTGACTCGACGGCACGCCAGGCTGCCGCTTGGTTTCCGACATCTCATTAAGAAAAAAATAACTCATGTACTTGTCCATCCCGAGTCGTTTCAGTTCCGCATTTAAGCAGAAGTGACCGTTCATTTCCAATTTGTGTTGAGACTACGTGTAAATAAATTAGGGTTTCAAATTTGGGTTTTAAGTCCATACTAGGGTTTCAAGTCGACTTTATCCATATTTAATTAGCATGACAGTCTTTATAAATCTCTTTTTAACCTTCTGTTTCACTTGACAAAATATCTTATTTACGGTTTTGCCAAAACTGCTTACAAATTAAGGCCTGCCCGCCATCATCGACTTCCACCTGCAGTTGTGTAAGGCAAGACTTCATTAACTTCTTTTGTGTGGAATAAAGAAACATGATTTTCATTATCTTCTTTTTTTTCTTTTCAATTATTTACAACCAAACCCCTTCAACCGCCTGGACACACGCTCTTAATTTTTCTATACGCGCATGTTCCCATTGTGTTTATTGAGAGCTTCCACATCGTTAATAGCGGCCGCCGGCACTTGGTGAGAGAGAGGAAAAGGTAATTAAAACCGCAATAGCCTTGGCGCTACACGAGGGCGAGGCAGTGGTGGAGGCGGAGGGAGGAGGAGGGGGTGGGGGCCACCAACGAGGTGGCTCCGGCGCGGGTTGGTCGTACAAGCTTGCTCACATGTTGGTTCTCGCCCGGGAACCAGGAGGCTGAGACCACGCTTGGACTTTGAGCGCTAAATGAGTGTCCCAGGGTCACACGCTCATTTGCTTGTCGAGCAGGGTTCGTTTTCAAACTTGTTTGGAGAAGTTTTTCTCACCGGTGACCTCAAAATCTGAGCGTGATGCTGAAAATGCTGGAGGAATGAAAACGTTTGACCGTTCTCATCAGTCATTGTTATGACAACAAGTTCATAGTTTGGGTCGAAAAAAAACAGGGTGAGGATTTAAAAATTGGATTTCAAATTATAGTTTCAAGTTTGGGTACCTGGGTTAAGGTATCAAACAAGGGTTGCGATTTCAAACGACGGTTCCAAGAGTGAGTTATGTTTCAAATTAGCTTGTGGTTCATGGTTTTAGATTAGGGTTTTAAGTCTGGGTTAGGCTTTCTTGCCTGGTGTTAGGTTTTAATCCTAGGTTTGGTTAAAATAGTTGCTTTTCGGACCGGGTTTAAGCTTTTGTCATCACCATCATCATTTTCTGTACAGGACTAGCAGTATTTGAAGTCCAGTTTTAAAATCCATCCATCCATTTTCTTTCTTCAGGTGCTCGCTCCCAGATGGTCCAGATGGACTCAAGCAAGTCGGGCTTCGTGGGCTCCCAGGTGGAGCTGCGCTGCATTTTCATCAACAGCAACCCCCCGGTGAAGATCTCGCAGGTGACCTGGCAGAAGCTGCTCAACGGCACCAAGCAGAACGTGGCCATCGCCAACCCGGCCCTGGGCGTCTCCGTGCTGCCGCCCTTCAAGGAGCGCGTCAGCTTCAAGCAGGCGGCCGTGCGCCACCGCACGCCATCGCTGGAGGACACCACCATCGTCTTCTCCAACCTGCAGCTTTCTGACGAGGCGGCGTACATCTGCGAGTACACCACCTTCCCGGCGGGCAACCGCGAGAACATGGTCAACCTCACCGTCTTCGGTAAGTACGTCCCACTGGGATTTACAGCAGGTAGAGAGGATGGGATAACGTGATTTTAGCGCTTGAAGACTCGACTTAACAAAAGCGGGGCTGTTGCAAAAATGCAGCCCGTTTCAGGCGCAAAACAACAAGCTCCCCACGGACTTTTGGACTTTTGTTTTTCTTTTTTTTTTTATATACTTAGTTTTAATTCGTTTTGAGTTGATTGGTAGTTTTTATAGGTTTACCGGTGTATATTTTTTAAGGGGTTAATTTTCGCAACGTAGAATGAACATTAAATGACAAAAAAGGTGGAAAGATACAAATGAAAGTGAAAAATAGTGGCGCTCTTTCGAGACTGCCAACGAGGCACGATTAGTGTCAGCAACTGGTGACCAGTCCAGGGTGTTGTCTTCCCTTTGCATAAAGTGAGATGGGATCGGCGATAGCTCCCCGACCGTGATCCTAAACAGGATGAGCAAGTTGGAAAATGGATGGAAGACGAGTAATATTTGATATATGAATCTCCACTTGTGTTTCCCGAGAACATTTTTACAAATGTATAAGCTATATGTTAGCCTTGTATAGGCGCATTAGTAAACGTAATGGTAATGGTTCTAAATAAAATCAAAATTAAGTTTGGCATTAAATGTCGAGCTACTTCTCTCCTCTTCTTCGCTTTATGAAGTCACGTCCGAGAAGAAATGAGCTCATTGTTAGCCATGCTAGTTAGCTCGTTAGTTTCCTTGAGTCGCTAATATTAATTTCACCCATTGTAGCTGGTTGCAAACATTCATTTCTAGACACCGTTGACTTGAGCTGAGAGGTTAGAGGACACCCTTGACTGGTCCCCAAGGCACATATGGACAAACGCTTCACACTCACATTCCAACCAACGGACAATTTAATAAAGATAACATAATGTTTTGGAAAGTGGGAGGAAGATGGAGTGCACACAAATTAGGTTTTCAAACCAGTGTTGTGGTTTTAACTTGGCATTTTAGGACCGAGTTAGGATTTCAAATTGTTGCTTTTTTCAAAATGAGAACAACTTGAATCTACCATTCTGAGACTGTTTACCATTCGCCTCGAAACCGGCAGCGAGCACCTTCCATCAACCTTTTTGTCCATTTTATTCATCAAGAAATGATGGGATGCTGAAAGATTCTTTTAATAACAGCAAGAATGGGTCAAAGGTTTTTCTGTCGAATTTGTGTGGATTTTTTTTTTTTTTTTTTTTTTGTCGGAGTCAGGTAAATCAAAGCCACATCTTCCAATTTATTGAAGCGTTTAAAGCACGTCCGCCACGTTTTGGCTCAGCGCTCATGTGTGGCCAAACTGCCTTTGAAGGACTCCGGCCATGCACACCTTTTCCTCCGCTCTGAAGCCTTTTGCAAAAGAGACTTTTCACAGTTTGTGTTAGCGCAACCTCTGTGTCGGCCGCTGCGCTTCCAGCTGATGACTCCGCCAGGGGTCGAGGATGATTATTGAGGTGACGCGGCCCCTTTGAACGCCTCGCAACCGCAGTGATTTTTTTTTTTTGTGTTTTTTTTTTCGTGAAACTACAGCACATAGCTCAGTTATGTTGACCTTTTAAGCCTTAATACATCCAATTAGTGCACCGCTGACCTGTCTGACCTGCGTATCTATCTTTCCAGCTAGCAAGCTAGGTAGCTAGCTCTGATGTTCTTTCCAGTTTTGAAAAAGCTAGGTAGCTAGCTTGTGTAAGCTATCTTTTTCACCCCCAAATAATTATTTTCTGGGGATGAAAAAAAATGTCACTTTTGTTGATACACTTCAGAAGATGTTGAGATTTTGGGTGGCGGATTTAATCAGCTTTTTTTTTTTTTTTTTCAAAAGTAGGCATAGTTGATTCCAGATCTCATCAGACCCAATCTGTAAGCCCTTGATGTGTTTTCCTTTGAAAGAAATGAGCATTTAAGTTCCCAAACAACTCTTAGATGCTCATTTTGCAACCAAGAGCCCTTAGCGCTCTTCTTTTGAGCATGTTGAGCTCTTGCGCATCCGCAAGCGCCGCCTTCGCTCTTTGCATTTACTTAAGATCAAGCCTGCTTTTTGATGCACTTCGAAGGGATTGCTAATTGGCACCTCACAAAGGAATCAAATAAGATGAGCGTGCATGTTGGGCCGGCCGAATGGCTCCTCCATCTGCGAGACCTGTTTGGTTTGTTTTTTTTTAGCTTTGAGGAAAGCAGCGCAACTTTGCCTGATTAGTGCTGTTTTGCTTACTTAGCACGCCCCCCCTGGGGAGGGAATGCACTTCAAGTACAAAGTCTTTTGTTTAATGAGCTTGAATTACCAGAGGTGGGGGACTACAGTCACATGACTTGACGCAAGTCAGAATTAGGGCTGAACAATTACCATAATTTTCTGTGAATAATAAGCAATTAAAAACACTTCAACAAACACTTCTCACGTTTTATAGATATGAAATGGATTGAGTATAGATGTAATAATTTATCTGGTGTTGTCATGGAGATTTAATTTCCTGAGAGTTTAGTTTCCTTATAAGTCCTTATTATTTACCTTAATGATGTTTTAGCGGAAACTGCGGGAATTTACCAGAAGCGTTCCACCCTTTTCCAACCATAGGTGACTTACTCTAACTTTATTTCATTAACCTCTCCCTGAATCCTTTCTGCGAACCCCCTACCCGCTCCCTTTCCGCAGCTCGCCCCCTGACTCGCATGACCTTGACCACGCCCACCATCGTGGCCCGCTCGCAGCGCCGCAAGATGACTGTGGCCACGTGCGTGTCGGCCAACGGCAAGCCGCCCAGCGTGATCCGGTGGGACACCAGGCTGAAGGGCGAGGCCACCTTCCAGGAAACCCGCAACCAGAACGGGACGGTGACGGTGCGCAGCAACTACGTGATCGTGCCCGGCCGGGAGACGCACAAGCAGAAGCTGACGTGCATCGTCACGTACCGCAACGAGAGGTTCACCGACAGCGTGGTGCTCAACGTGCAGTGTAAGCATCCGCTTGCTTTTTATAGTCCTTGGAAATACGGTCTGTCTTAAATAGGGTCCGGCCGATATGGATTTTTTTTTTAGGCCGATAAATAAAAGAAATAAAATTCCCATCACCAATTTATCAAAGCATTTATTAAAGAATAAAATAACTCTTTTTGGGGTCCCCAATGCTTCCACCAATAAAGATATAAATTACAGACAGAACGTGACTGTTTTAGAATACTTGTCATTAAGTATTTATTTGACCTTACAACAGAAAAAGAAATTGGATGTCTGTGTTCTCAATGTTTTTTTTTTCTTTTAATTTATTGATTTATTTTTGGTGGGGTGAAATGTTGAATGCCATTATCTTTGTCTTATGTTCTGATGTGGTCATGTGTACCAAAAAAAAAAAGTCAATTTTAAAATAAATCGGCAGATAAAACTTAATCGGTCCGCCACGAGTTTTCAGAGATTCATAATTTTAACGTAGACTAAAAGTAACGACCACCTGAAAGGAGTAGTTTATTTTTTGGGGCATTTCAACGTGGTTTTTCACCAATTGACTGAAATATATGTCATTAAATTCCATTTTTAGCTGATGCAAATTGGGGGACCCATCAGCTTCCGTTAACTGTAAACTCATCAAAGTAAACCGAGCGACGCCTCTGCAAACAAACAGACACAAATGAGGCATTGAATATGCTGCCCTCGACCTTCCTACTTAACAAACATCCTTCGCAACCTCACCTCATCATCTGAACAAACTTTTTTTGTTGTTGTTTTTGCACCTCCGCTTTGGATTACACAGTTGAAGCTCATTTTGAGCTAATTCAATCAATGCTCAAATAGATCGGCTTTTTGGTGTTTGTAGAATTTAATTCAATTAGCCTCTTTTCTCTTGATTCTGTCTAATGAAAATCATGTCGCTCTGTTTTATTGACGCACAAAAAGGAGAAGCCATTTGCGTTTCGGGGGTTAAACAGTTTTTGATATTTTGGGATGAATCGATGGTTGTGATTGTTTTGGGAGATTTTGTTGACATAATTGCAGGGGGGTTGGTTTTCCGGGGGTATTTTGGTGGAGGCAATTAATTTTTAAGACGTTTTTGATATTTAGTTTGAGGAGTTGATTTTTTTGCTTGATGTTTTGTTTCCTAAAGTATGAAGATTTTGTTGGGATTTTTGAGGAGGAAAATAGGGGGTTTGAGAGTGATACAGTTTTAGGAGAATTTCTATGGGGGGTTTACGGGTAAACCTTTTTATTGTGGTATGGGGGATACAGGTAAAAATGTTTCATTTGGATTTTGAGGGAGTAATTTGTGTTTTTGTTTGGTTTTTTTTAAAGATTGTGTTGGGGTTTTGGAGGAGGACATTTTTATATTTTGGATGGGGTTTGGAAGCGATGCGTTTTTGTTTGTTTTTTTTTGAGCAAAAATATATAGCTTTCGTTCTGATTTTGGGGAGGATAAAAAGGTTGAGGTTTCATTCAGATTTTTGGGGGATAGTTCCAGCTTTTTAGATTTTTTGGGGGTGGGGGACTTTTGGAGGACTACAATATTTTGTGAGACTTTTGGGGCATGAGAAATGGAGATTGTTTTGGCATGATGAAATCAGGAGTTGTTGACAAAATGAGATGCAGCTTTGATGAGCGCAGACTGGCGTATGAGCTTTGGTATGAAGCCAACCGGCAAGGACAGAACGCAACACGTCTGTTTTGAATGGAAGCAAATTCCGGCCATGTTTTTGTTTTTGAACTGGAGGTTCTGCAAAAGCATGTTTGTGTGACGCGGCCGCCCCCTCGTCTGCTCCCTCCGCAGATGAACCCGAGGTGAAGATCGAGGGCTTCGACGCCAACTGGTACCTGAACCGCCAGAACGTGCAGCTGACCTGTAGGGCAGATGCCAACCCGCCGGTCACCATCTACCAGTGGAAACTGTGAGTGTCGCCCACGCTTCACAAAAAGCACTGCCTTTTAAAAAAAAATGCTTCCATTCTGCTTTTTTGTGCAGTTTTCAAACCAAATGATGTTTGTTGGTGTTCATTTTTGGCCTGTTTTTTTTAAATGTATTTTTTTTTTTTACTCAAACATTAGGAACTTCACGCAGAGCGATGCACAGTTCTATTTATTCTCGTGAGCATTTTTCTTTTATTTCCTGATGATTGTTTTGCAAGCAGTTGCAGCAGGCTCGTGTATGACAAATTTGCACCACCCGCGGATCATAAAAGCGTAATAAAAGCGCATAATGAACACAAGTTCACAGAATGAGTGGGCGCGCTCAGCTTTGGTCTTCATGTAGCGAAGCATTTTGAAAATGAGACCACAGCCTCTTTGCATCGCAAAGTCGACGCACAGAGCATAACAATCATCCCGCATGAGGAACAGCCAAATCTATTTTGACGGTCACACAAGTGGAAAGAAAGAAGCCTCGGTATACATTCAGGTGCTCTTACGTTGATCAATCCAACTTGGATGTCAAGATTTGGATGCTAAATAGCACTCACACAAACAGTATTCATGTTATTCTGCACAAAAATGTTCCATGTTTCTTCTTCTTATTTCCAGCAGTGTTTATTTGACATGCTAATTCTCCATTTCTCAACCAATATAAACCATTCCAATTTGATCATACTCGGGTCATTTTTGGAAACAGTTTGCACATTTCTCCGAAGACGGTCTTTTCCCACCTTTCCCGTGAGCGGATGTCCCATTGACCCGTTCCGGGTCAGCGGTTACTACAGTGGACAGCTGAGCATGTTAGCAGGTTACAGGGTTCAGGGTCACCTTTTCAGCATTCACACGCGTTTTCAACAGAAGTTGGATCCTCTTGCTCATCCGAATGTTTTTTCTTAACCAGTAAATGCATGACATTTGAGTTGACGTTGAGTTGTGTAAATACAACAAGGGCATCTCCCGTTTCCTTGCCGTGCTACTTTTCTCTCCGGTTGGCTTGTCGCGATGGCGATAAGAAGCCGACCCGAGGCGGGGCACAATGGCTCCATTGGAGCAATGATGCCAAAAACAAACAGAGCTCTTATTTGAGGTCCGGCCTTCAAATTTGTGGAGGTTGTAGTACTGGCGGAGGGGGAGTTAATGGAAGAGCTATCAAACAATTCGGTTTTATTTTTTGAAAGAACCTCAATGACTTAAGGCATAATGACATGATTTATTTTTAACCTTTTGAGGGACAGCAGTTACTACAGTGGACAGCTTATCGGGTTACAGGTTATCATTATTTGTGCATGAAAGGGTTAAATGATCACCATCACGTGTCGCACATCTGCTGAGGTTTCGGGTTCAGATGCTAGCGTCTGCTGTGTGACACAAGTTGACAACGTCGGACTTTTAAAAAAAATGGCACAATTAGTATGTGAACATACGTCATTGACCAGATAAACTGAGCCGGGGACAGCGGACAAATGTTTTACATGGCTGCTTTAAATGATGCATCTATTTCTCCCACCATACTAGAAAGGCCTGTTCCACGAACACTATTGGGGCCCTTTTGTAAAAAGCCAGCGTTGAGCCCAACTACACAGAGATAAATGTGGCAATTTAGGCGGTAATTGCTCAGCGGAGGCGAGGTGTATGAATAAGTCACGCTGGTGGAGTGGACGTAGATTAATAGATCGTTGTCGCCACGCCACAAGCCTCCCTCCAGTTAGCGTCTAATGAGGCACCTTTATGCATGCATATACAGTATACGCACATACACACACACACACATACACCCACACACAACACTTTCAAAAAGAAGAGAAGCTCGGATAAAGAACTAAAAGGACGATCCAAGGGGGGGAGATAAAGGCGGCCGAGAGGAGAGATGTGATCTAGCAAGACGAGGGCGCAGCGCTGACGGATCGGAAGGGACGGCCATTGCTGTCCTGAGAGCCAGACGCCAAATTTGTTGTGAAGGCTCCCCTGGGCTCGGCGATGGAGGTCAGCGCAAGGCTGTGACGGAAGCGTCCGGAACAGGCTGGTCCAGGGGGTTGCGTCATTCCCAACCGCGCCCACGCGTACACACAGACACACACACATGCGCGCACTTGGCACATAGCATAGCAGAGCTGAGGTGTCACTGCATCTATTGACATTCATATGTCATCATCAGGATATCCACGCAACATCCTATTTTTTTTTCTAGTAAAAAGAAATGGTGTTCATAGTAACAATGGCAAAACAAAAATGCACTTGTATCAGCTTAAAAAGAAATGAATCTCTGTTTATAGTGAAAACAATAACACGCGCATCGGGATAACCACAGTCAGGGTTAAAAACGTCAAAACAGAAGCGCATTGATACAAGTGTCAAATCACCGTTTATTTGAAAAACAAAAATAAATGAAATAATAATACACTCATGCACAGCATTGCCAACGGCTACAGATTGTTTGTGTTTTGTTGCGGAATTCACTGAATGCTATTCTCGTTGTTCCCATAACATTGATTGTTACGGCTGATGTGTTCAAAAGTAGCGAGTCACATTGCCCAAACAGATAAACAGAAAACGAGCAAAAAAGAGTTGGCAGTTAACTGCAAGCGATGTTTTGCTAACGCATGCGCAGTCGAAGCTAACAGACGAATTCGACGTTAGCCAAATGCTAACGATTTGAGACGAACCCTGACAGCCGCCAGCCTTGAAAGACTCATATCAGCGACACAAAGTGAAGCTTTGGTCGTCTTATCATTACAATTTGATATTCCCCCCCCCCCCCCACCACCCTGTGTCATAGAATGGAGAGGCTCCCTGATGCGAGTGGAAGCGTTGCCATGGCGGCAAACACCTGAGCAGACCTCATTAACACTTTATCATTCGATCAGATGGCGGTTCAGGGGGCAGAAGCCCCACAAACACGAATGTTGACCCCCCCTCAACCCTGACATACATACCTGTTTAACATCCCCCCCTCAGGCTATTTTACCTGTTGGGACCAGGTTGCCTGGTAATTTAATATGATGGATTACGGTTGAGATGCAACTCTGTGTAATGTGACATACACACGCAAGCTTATTTTCTGAATGCTTGCACCCTACACTCCACTACAACTTTTTTTCAGCTTTTGCCGTCATAAAACTTGCTTATTCTTATTCATTGACATTATATTTTCAATCAGTTATATGGATTTTATTTTGTTTTCTATGCACTGTTTGTGGTTTTTTTTTTTTTTTTTTTTGGTATTTTAATTTCAAGTTTTCACTTGTCTCTTAATATACATTTGTTTTGATTTTCATATTTTTTTTAATTTGCTGTTGAATGTTTTGAGTAAAATTTTGATTTGTTTTATGTATGAATGAATTTTAATGTTTTAATTTATGTATTGTCTATTGCTATCATTAATATTATTAGTGGAAGTAGCAGTAGTAGTACAAATGAGTAACATTGGGTAGTTGGTGTATGTTTAAAAAGCAAAACTACAATTATTTTAACATTATTAAAAAAACAATTAACGCAAATATGAGTAAATGAAATAAGTCAAAAAATACTAACAATTAAAAACATTAGGTTTAGTTTCAAATTCATCAAAAAACATTTTAAATTTTCTTTTTGAACTTCTGTTCCTTAAATTAGAATTAAGATTTTCTTTTTAGATCTACTAAACCCTTCACGCTGCAGTTTTCCCGTTGGCTTCCCTCGTAATTGAGAGTGATGGATGATGGTCGCGATCCATGCGCTGTCTAATCCCGTTATTTCGCCCAATTTCCTGCCTTCCTACTCAACACCGCGTCCCTTCCACCTTCCAGCTTGAACGGCTCGCTGCCGAGCAACGTGGAGATCAAGAACAACAGCCTGTTCTTCAAGGGCCCCGTCACCTATGACCTGGCTGGAACGTACGTCTGCGACGCCACCAACGGAATCGGCACACGCACCGGCATCGTGGACGTCAACATCACCGGTAGGCGAACGTCCCTCGGTGCTACCTCGTTCCTTTCGCTTTCTCTGGCATGGCTTCATAACTGACAACGCCAAAAAGCTACTAACGAAGCTATGAGCTGTCCCCATTGCTATGTTTTGCTAACAGCTAGCTCTTGTGTGAGTGCGTATTTTTGCGATTGGTCAGTCAGTAAGTGGTTGCTTCGCGCAGACAAAACAGAAGTTGCAAAGATGCTAGTTGCTAGTGTTGTATGGACGAAAGCCTTGTATGTCACTGAGCGGCGAGGGTTGATGAGTGTTTGAGTACGGTCCGAATCTTGTTTTTTTTTTTTTTTTTGTTAGGATTTGTTCAAGGTCGCAAGCGGTGGCGAAGATGTTTGCGAGATGTGTGCCAACAGTTTTAATGGTTGCAAGGAGTTTTTCTTGTCGCCAGGAGATTTAGAACATGTTAAAAATGTTGTTGCGACAAGAAAAACTGCGACCGTTAAAACTGTTGGCGAACCTGTTAGCCAAGAATATGTCGCTAAGTGTTAGCTGACCATGCACTAAATGAAAGAGATTGCTATGCAAATGTTACCCTTTGAGCGAGTGAGTGGTGAATGGGCAGTCCTGAATCGCTAGCTTAGCAGTGGCTAAAGTTTCTAAAATGCTAATGGGTAGCATTTTATGAACTGACTCAAAAATGTTTTGACTAAAAACGGGAGATGTAGTTTTTTTACTGGACAGCAAAAAAATGCTTATGTGTGGCACCATTCCTAAGTTAACTCGTTGCAAGAGTTAACGTAGCACGAACCAAATGATTACGGTTTATGTTTAACTATCGTCAATTTATCACCGTGAGTTTTTTTTTTCTCGTTTTTAGCTTTTCATTAGATTTTGACAAAATGCTCCCACACTAGAAGCTAGCTTTGCACTGACTTACTAGCTAGATCTCCGCGGTAGCAAACGATACATAGCTTCTAACAGGTAGCGTAGGAGAGCGTCTTGCTTGGAAGTTTAGGAATGAAGATGAGCGATGTGATACCAGGAATAACATCAGGGAAATGGGGAGCAGGTTCCTTGATGTGATAGATGATTCAGCCACCTTGCGGTGGGCGGTGTAACATCAGACTCAAATATATGGATTTCTTTCTTTTTTTTTAACATGCCTTCTAGGCGGGGGTGGTGCTGTACCAACTCTCCAGGCCTGTTGTTGACTCACATCCTGTCTTTGGGAACAGCTGCCATTCAGTGTTTCTTTTTTTTTTTGCTATTCTTTCCTGATAGGGGTGGTGGGGGTGTATTGTGTGATCATTCAGGTGTGAGAGGCGGCAGTTAGCCACCAAACAGGAAAGAGAGGAAGCAATCGTCTCGTATCAAGGGCCCCTAAACGTGACACAATGCCTCGCAAAGACAAAGAGGGAAAGGCACCAAAGTCATTTTCTATATTTATTGTAAATGAGCAGGCTTTGTTCCATTGCCGGTGTCTGTGTCTTTGTGTTGAGTGACTCCAGAGAGCCGATACTTCATTTAAGCACATTCAGCTGCTGGATGTTTGCATCAGCCATTTGAATACAGGCACATTTTCGCGCATTGTTTTGCAGCGCACACAAAGTGTCCTGGCTCTGCGTAGATGAAGAGCAATCGAGCCGCATCCTATCTAGGTAGCCGACTAGTAAGGTCAGAATGTATTTGTGCCCACTGGTGGCTGGTGAAATAAATGTTTCTTTCGACCGTATGCGGCAAACCGAACTTGAACTGAGTTAAAATTTAAGTGGGTCCGCACACACCTGGTGACATTGTGAATGTTGATCAACTCAATATTTGTCTCAAGAGCTATTTGTGTGCGAGTTTTCTCAGGCCATATCTAGGCAGAAAACCATATCCAGGACCCGAAATTAAGTGCACACGTCCGGCTTGTGAAACTTCGTGTCTGATTATTGTTCATATGAGTTGAAATAAGTTTGTACATTGATCAACCAAAATCCCGTTTTTGGACAAGTAAAAGGTCGCAGTGTAACCCAACGCAACAGCTGGGAGTTGCAACATGGCGGCCTGTCAAATGCAGGGCAACAGATGACTGTCAAACATGGGGTAGGTTGCTGTTTGATGTGGGGAGAAATGCGGCGGCATGTCGGAGCCTGCACGCAAGCTTCTCACTCGCAGGTGCTACATGACAGGGAGATGAAACTGTTTCCTGGTCCGATGCTGGTCCGGACTTGTTTTCGTCATGTACAATGACAGTTGATTCTCTGGAACGTTTTTGTAACAGCATATGCAAGACACATTCACGGTGTCTAAGTTCAGGGGTTCTTACATTCTTTGGGTCCAAGAGAGAATATTTTCCAAGGACCCTCATAATCCTAACACCAATCCAATATAACTACCAGGTACACCAGAGGAATTATTTCGTTTTTTTAGATTGTTAAATGTAATTATTGACATCAGTTGTATCCAAAATGATTAACATTGCTCAAGATAATTTTTTTTACATCAGCTACCAGTCAATAGTTGTTTTATTTGCCAACTCTGCATGTGAGTTCCAACCGGCTATTTTGTGTTTGGAATCAAAACAGGTGATACAGGCTTTTATTTTGATGCAATGCTACTGTGTCTTTTTTTCTGAGAGAAAGAGCAACGAAATGCTAACTTGTGATCAGAAGACTCAAGCTTAGCACTGACTTCCCGGAAGCTAACAGTGCGTCATTGCTATCAGGTAGCATTAGTCCAGAGCTCTTTGATTTATTTATTTTTTTCATTTGCAGCCCCCAAAATGCCAACAGTTTGATTTATGCTCACGTGAAGATGACCAGATAGTGTGAATATGCGGCTCACAACTTGTATATGTAGCTAGCTGTGTGATTAGCGTCACTTTTATTGTGTGCGTGTGTGGGTGCTAGGTTCCGCTAATTTTGTTTGTCTTGCCTCCCGGACAAGGGCGTTTTCCGGCTCATACGTAAGATTTACAATCAACTATTTAAAACTGTTTTGGATCATTATTCAATGTACTGCTAACCGACCGAGGAAAAAGTGCAATGAAATTCGAACTTGAGATGAGACCACTCGAACCGACGGGCCGCTAACTGTGTGTACCCGCTAACAGGTAGCGTCACTCGAACCGACGGGCCGCTAACTGTGTGTACCCGCTAACAGATAGCGTTAGTCCATAGCAAAGTGATTTTGTGGTCTCAAAAATGCTAACAGGCTATTTCTTGTGCTCTGGTAACTTGATTTTTGGTGTTGTCTTCCGGTCAATCCTTGTTTCTTGCCTCCCGGACAACTTTGTTTACCTCCTCATGCATTTCATTTCCAAATGCTGCTTTAAAGGGCAGAAATGTAATCATTTCATATTTAGTCAATAACTTGTTTGCGACTTGGCCTTTTCCCACCGGCTCCGAACTGTATCCGAGGCGCTGACAAAAAATATATGACGTCCGGAGTCCATCAAGATTGGGACGTTATCCGAATGCGCCGCCGCTGCGTGCGACGTGCATTATGTATGAGCGTGGACTGACACAGCAATATACGCCTGCCAGGAAAAACATCCTTGGTTCCAGTTTTCGCTGAGATAAAATGTCTGAGACAAGCTGTTGTGTATCCGAAGAAATCTGTTTTCTCCGCGTCGGGAAGCAACACTGATGGAGCACTTAAGAGAGGCAAATTTTAATCACGCTTCTCGCTCTTGGTGCCGCCATTTGTCAGCGCTCAGCAGATAGCAGCGGCCAAGGAGCGCCTTGTTTCAATTAGTTTTTGGGGGGAAGGCGTCGAACCGCGGCGAGTCACGTGGCCACTGAGTGCTCCTTCCAAGGACACGCGTCGCTCGTTGCAATCTAATGAAGCACGCTCGTCTTTTAATCACTTCTCCCGTAAGATAAACTGAAGAAAAAAGGGCTGGTTTTACCAAAATAAATTGCTTATTCCCCTTTCGCTCGCAACTCTAGAGAGGGGGAGCTGACAAGTGGTCCACTCCGATTAATCAGCTCCTTCGCGAAGGGCATCGGATGTTCAGACCATGCCTGGGCCTCGGCCTGTCTCATCAGCAAATTAGCCACGTGCAATTGTAATTTGCTCTGAAATGTTTTAGTTTAGTTGAGCAAATTTCCAACAGTCAGACCCCATTTTGTGTGCTCGAAAACCTGTTGATATCCTAACTTTGGTTTACGCTGTTGCCCACCTCTGCAAATGAGTCGGATGAAGTTGTCATTTTGCTCATCATCAAATTCTCAAGGAGCGGATCCAACCAAAGTTTGGCTCGTGAACAGCAATTGAATCGCAACAATTGTTCTTCCTGTAGCCCAAAACGGTATCAGTGAAGAACAAGACGGGCTAAATTTAAGTTATGCGCACCTGGCTGTTGAAATTTGCGAACGGTGATGCGCTAACTCATCCACGCAGCAAATCGGAAAGGTCAAAATGAATTTTGACTCACCCACAGTTGGCTAGTAAATTCGACCGTGTGCTTCGCCGTCACAGTGGCCGTGGAATGATTGTTAGTCCATCTCACCATTTTCTTTTTTCCCGTCCGCTTATCCCGGTCAGAGTCGCAGACAGGCTGAAAGTCTGTCAAACCTGTCAATCACGGGGCTGACACATGCTTTACCCCAAGTGCTGGGAAATCGGAAAGTTCAAGACGAAATGCAATATAATGACACTGCTGCGGGGGAGGCAAGGTTGGATATTTACCGTATTTTCTTCTCCCTTCTTCATTTCCTTCAACGTCGCAAAAGAGATATCCTATTTTTTACCCGCAGATAATTTGTTATGTTGCGTTTTCATCAACCTAGGAGAATGATGACCATTTTATCTTGCGTGAGTCTAATGTATGTGTTTTTGTGAACATCCGAGACAATGTTTTGGTCTTCAATTAGCCGGAGATACTTTTTATGAACCCAAAAGACGATTCATTCTTTAATGAATCAAGCATGCTTTTCCTATCAGGCCAAAGACAGTTCAAGCTTCATTTTTACTGACGTAATGTTTTTTTTTTCATATTATGTATTTTTGTAAAGCACGGCGAGTCTTCCGTGCCCTTTAGATCTATTTTTTAGATTACCGCCATGTTTTCATTTAAACGTTTATATAGACATCAAAGATAATTGAGTCTTCAAAAAAGGCTAATGTACATTTTGGTGAAGATCAAAAGCATTTAATAGTCTTCAGTGAGCCAAACGGTTTTTTTTTTGTTTTTTTTTTTTAAACACCAAAGACATTTACGAGTCCTCAACAAAATGCTTGCTTTGGGAAACATCAAAAAACCAATCGAGAGTCTCAATAAACAGTACGTACATTTTCGTACACAACAAAGAAAATGTGTGCAGACTTCAAACTAACCTCATGAACACGTTTTTGTTAACCGGAAAAAAAAAAAAACAAAGTCCTTGTAATGAACTTGATGTTGTATTGTGGAAAGGCAGCGCCGCGCCGCCGGTGGTCATTTAAGAGAAGGAAATCAGCCCCTTCATTACGCTAATCACCTTCCCAAACAAGCGCGCTCTGTTTTTGCGCGGCCGACAAATGGATGCTGCCGTCTTCATTTTCTTTCCCGGCACAATAAGTGGTGATGAATGGCCTCTCTGTTTGCAAAGGCCTCACTCACAATGATGCCATAATCGCCCGCTCTGTTGCCGTCGCTGTCTTTTGTTTTCACTGGATTGACAAATGTGGGAACATTTCTTTTTCCCTCGCCGTTAAGTCGGCCTGTGGAATTGATCATTAAAAAAAAAAAAAAAAATTACAAAAATAAATAAACCACACCCACACGGACATTTGATCACACAGGTGGGAAGATTTGAGTCGCCTGTGAAAGCTTGTCCGAAAAAGTAAGTTCAAACGCTGTGGCATTTATGCAATATGATGGGGTTATTGCCGCATCCCCCATCAAGTATGATGCGGTTTCAATGGTGGCGGCAAGGTAGCAGCTAAGCACGAAGCTCCTCAATTCACTTCAATATAGTTCTCGGCAGACACATGTCGGCGGATGGCGCCAAAGCACTGCATGAAGCGCCTCAACTCACCTCAACATAGTTCTTGGCAGCCAGATGTCATGGGCGGGTGTCAAAGGCATAAAAGCAGCAACTTTTCACCAAATAATGGAGGATAGGTGCCCCTCCAAAAAAAAAAAACAGCGAATAGATGAAATCCCATTTATGGATATTGGACGTCAAACTTTCTAATTTGAAACGGCATCAGTTGAATGTGAATATTTCAATAATTTCTCCCGGGCTCTTGTGATGGAACCAAATCCCATTCATCATGTAAAATGTTGCACTTTTCACAGTTTCTGAAAAAAAGACAAACTCTCTAAATATGCGTTATCTTATCACTCATTGTGTGCCAGTCATTTTCTGGCCCCTCTTCATCCAACAATGTGAAAAGAAATTGTAAAAATATGTAAAGGTGTACCTGGGATTAAATGCCTCTGGATTCTTTAAAAAAAAAAAAAAAGTGAAAAAACGTCTTTGGCATTGAAATTAAGAATCTCTTTTTACGCTCTTCCCATTTCATTTTAAATGTCATAAAATGTCCCTAAGAATTAAAAAATAAGCCTTTTTTATGTTCACTTATTGAAAGGAATACGAACTGAACCGCAAACTTAAAACTAGGGCACATACCAAACCAAGTTTTTACTCCAAGCAAGTATACATTTATGTGGTTTCACTGTTTTAACTGGTCCAATGAGGGCGACCATATCTGTGATGTGAACTGTGATGAAAAGAAGGTTTTTGGTTGTTGTTTTTTTTTTTTAAATCCCTGTTTTATCGGGATCAACGATGTAGGAGATGATATCAGATAAGTTGAGGTTCAGCCAGTGGGCAAACCTTCCGGAGACACTTTTTTTTTTTCCCTGAAGCTTCTTTTTTTTTGTTGTCTGCATCGAGGTGCACAAAGCTTTTTGTTCAACTAGATCCGTCTAGAACGGGAGTAAAGTGAATTCATACATGGATAACAACCGGCAGCAGGAAAAAAAAATGGGGGGAAACGAGATGGGCCCCGGCACATGATGAAAGTGGATTTTGGAAAGGATTGAAGGCCAAAAGAAACTTTTACCTACTTAACAAACTAAGTGTATGCCTCACTTTTTGGAGAGTGTGTGTGAATAATCCAACGCCGCTCTGTATAAAACTTCCCATGCTGGCAAAAAAACAGCGGAAGACATATTGACAAAAATACGAAATGTACATTTACTGAGATGAAAAGAAGACCCCGCAATAACTTTTGGAAAACATCCACGTGAAATCATTGGTTTTGCATCATCTAAGAACATTATTCTTACTGTGGCACTGCACATATCATGTCTCGAGTCTTATTTTACCACTGTTATTTCTTTTGTGAGTATTTTACGACATAGTAAACGCTCACTCGGAAAATGTTTGTACTGCGGTATGTCGCCGTCAGCCTCCTCTACTTTATTCAATGAGGCTAACATAACAGCAATAAAAACAGTATGAGATCATGTAAAATCTCGAAATTAACTTTCATGAATATTGTGTTCATGAATATTAAAGACGGCGTCGGAGTCGTAAATGTTTGTGTCAAAATAGAAGCACCAAGAACAATGTTGAACCCTCAATTAATCTATTATAGGTCTTTTTTTTTTTTTTTTTGAAACATCGCGGACAAATTTAGAATCAACAGCTTGATTGCCTTGTAATTCCTTTTTGCCTACTTTATTTGTTGTTCTTCTCAGCACTGGTTTAATGACGAAAAGTACCGGCAAGTGCTCGAATCGTGCAATTACAGTACTCCATATTGTCGTCCGCCAATTAGCCACATTAGCCCACTAGCATTTTACCACAAGTCGTTCACGGCAGACATTGTGAGCTCATAAAGGCATGTCGTTGAGGTAATTGGAGTTGTTGGGGTATACAAAGGGGTCCGACTATTCATGAGAAATGTGAGTGGTTTTCCATAAACTCAATATTCTTGGAAAAAAAACATCTGACAATTTCGCATTACCAGTGAGCTTAACGTCTGCTTTTGTTCACATCAAACAATTGAGACTCTTCACCGAACCCGACATACGTGTTTGTCTCTTGCCTCGTCTTTTAAAGTTGTTCTTAACTCGGCGCGCGATGCGAATAAGGAAGCATTCTTGTGTTTACCACACATCAAGGTGAATCTGGTATTGCAAGAAAAAAAAAAAAACGATGCAGTGTTCCCGCTGCACTGGCACACCAGGAAGCTGAGAAGCACATCAGGTAACGGTTGCATTTGTTTTTTTTGTTTTGGTTTTGGGGTTTTTTTTTTGTATCAGATGACAAACAGCCTTCTGTTACGTCTCTGCGGAATTAAAGTAGCGATGAGCCGGCGTGTATCAACATGTTAGCGCGACCGTTCGTCTGCGCTCTCTTACTGTGTGAAATGCGTTTGTCGCGTCAGCGTTGATCTCAGTCGCCGCTCCCGACAACCGACATGGCGGCTTACGGGATTCGTGGCTGCAAAAAAAGTTGAATGTGCGTGTTTGTGTCTTGCACAGTAAACCCCCTGCTATTTGCGATGCAAAGATATTTATAATCGCATATAAAAATGCTTGAAAATCAGGTTTCGGGGGGAGGGGGGGGGTTTCGGTATCAGATTTTTAATCGGCATTCGGCTGAGTGAAAACATGCAGCGAAGACTCTCCGTAAAAATATGCAGCAAAGACTCTCCGTAACATACTTACTCTTTTTTTTTTTACCTGCTGTGACCAACACACTTGGGGGTGTCATTGTCTCCCATCAGCCCAAAATGGGACTGGCTTGTTGAAAGAAAAAAAAAAAGATCCCCATTCTCACTGGCTTTGTAACTAAACTGTTGCCTCGCGTGAAACCTATTCATTGTGGGGGGGAAAAAAATGTATGTGAAGACACGCTAGCGTGGCGCGCAGCCCGCACGCTGCCGGGTAGGTTGACTCGTCTCCCGCCCGACCTTGTCGCTCTGCAAAACGCTCTTCAAGCGACGCGGTCTGTCGCATTAACGGGCCGGGAGGCCTCAGGCCGACGGCGGAGCGACGCGTCCTCGCCGCGGTCTCGCCTTGGCCAAGATCACTCCTCGTTATCCAAATGAGGCATTAGCATCTGCGCCTTTCAAGACCGCGCGTACGTGCGCGGTTTAGTTGAGCTCGCGCTTAACCCATAAGAACCCACGGTGATGCCAGTGTAACAAACAGTTTGAACTCCCCAGTATCTTTTTTCAAAACTTTTTGGCTGATTTTAACCCATCAAAACCTTTTGGAAAAATGGGTCTGGGCTCTTATGGGTTAA